ATGTATGTTTCTTTGATCATTTTTTTTGTTAAAAAAAAACAAACTTGATTTAAACTAATGTTATAAATTAAAACTTAGATTTATTAAATAATAAAAAGAGGAAGGTAAGACGATAAGAGTAAAGAAACGACAACAATAAAGATAAAAAAATGTAAGAACGACAACAATAAATAAAGAAAATGTGAACGGACAACAATAACTAATAAAAAATAAAGATGACAACTATTTTACTTATATTTATAGTTTTAGGTAAAGAAAAAATAAACAATTGATTACGTAAGGTAAAAAAATTAAATAAGATTTATTAGTTTTAACAAGTTAATACATAATGAGTTTAATGCGTGAAATTTTATTTTATGAATGTTGTAAAAATTTATATTATTTCTACCAATAAAATTTTGATTGTTTCTTTGATTATAAACTAAACAAATATAATAAAATTAAATTATCAATATTTTTTAGACTTTGAAATTTTATTATTACATTTTAAATATATTAGGAAAATAAGCTATGCTATTACACGAAGAATACTTATTTTCTGGAAAAAAAAAAAGAAAGAAAGAAAGATAGGCGGGGTCCACCTTCAACTAAAGAACCACTAATGTTTTGCCACATGGGCAAATTGACATGGATGCCATGAAGAAATGAAGTCAATTATGGTCACGTGCTTGTGTTATGTAACTTGTATATGTATAGTGCAACTGGCAGATATAATATATCTTATATATGTGTAGAAATGTATATATATATATATATATATATGTCAACAAACTGGTGACTTCCACGCCAGATGGCACAATCATCCTCGCAATCCCAAACTACCATTTTAAATTATTATTGTTTATGAATAATTATAGTACTCATGCAAATTATACATATAGATACACGTCTATATATACATATATATATATATATGCATTCCTCAAACAACAGGTAGCAAGATTAGTATTAATTACCACTCTCCCAAAGTCCAAAGGGTTGTAAAACCTCTTCATGAGAGAATTTTCCTCTTTGTACAGAGAAGAGCAAGCAAAATGATTAGGGACACTAATTATGGCAATAATAATCCCTCATTGTGATTAATATCATTCATTTTTATTTATTTATTTATTTATTTTTACCCTTTTTTAATTATTTTCCATGTTTTCTTTCATGATTCAAATAACCCACACACACACATATATATATATATATACATGTTTTTAAGGGGGGGAAAAAAAAACCCATTTATATGAAATTAAAATTGAGTGAGTGATTAATTGTAATTTAACCAAAGAACACATATATATGAGAAGAGGGAATTAATGGAAATTATAAAACAAAAAAAAAATGCAAAAAAAACATTGGGTACTTTTTTTTTTTTTTTGTTGAAAGTTTTATCATCCATCTCCACTACTACACAACCTCAAAAATCTTAGGCGTGACATGGTTGAGTGGGTTGCATCATCGTGATGATTGATGAACCCTAATGCTCCGCCCCCCTCCCCCATCCTTCTCTTTTGCTACTTCCACACCGTCTCTCCCTCTCTTCTTCTATTTCCACTCAAAATTCCCATATCGTCACCGTAACCAACCAATCACAATCATCCACATCGTCACCTTCCATTTTCAACCAAAAAAACAATATATCACCCGCCCTAAAAATATTTTCAACTAAACTCTCTACTATAACCCCTAAAACTCTTTTCTTCTTTTTCTCTTTTCACATCTCTCTCTTTCTCTCCCACCGTCACCGTCGTATCTACCATCACCATCACCATCACCATCACCATCACCATCACCGTCGCATTCTTCTCATTCCGATTACTTCCGGCGAGTCGTGAATGTTTGGAACGTCACGCTGCCCGCCGCGGGGAACTCGTCCACCACGCGGCTCCTGCATTTCAACCCCAGAGGTTCCAGCGCACGCGCAACGCGCCCCCACACCTCGCGCCTGCAGGTGGTGGAGACTGACACAGTAGCCGGCCGGAAAACCTGAACCGCCTTCTTCAAAACCTTTGTAATATCATCCCGGTCCTCGTAGACGGACCCCACGCACTCGAAGCTGGCGTAGCTGTAGCCGTCCTCGGGGGTGACGTGGATGGTGGAGTAACGATCACCATCAATGCCGTTCATGGAGTACCCGCACGGGTCGAAGGCAAAATCACAGATGATAGCGCCAGGATTTATAGAGTCTATCCCGCTGATTTGGGTCATGTCCTTTCCGGCGGTATCCCCGTTTTTTTCATCTCCTTGCCGCTGGAAAAACTTGCGAGCCAGAACAGGATCGAGCTCTGTCATGCAGACTTCGACGGTGTAAAGATCGTCGGGGACGTGGGTGTAGAAGCGGGTAGCGTTCTGGTGGTCACTGGCAGTGAAAACATGCCACGAATGGGAAGGAAGCTTGGAGGGCATAACAGAAGCTTTTCTGTAACAGAGGTTTGCAGGGAGGTTGTCTTCTATGTAGATAACCTCTTCTTTGAAGCTGGTATGGGGGAAAGGCTGCGAGCTGGGGAAGATGAAGCTGCCTCTGGTATATCGACAGCCAGATAAAGTAAGACCCAGATTGGCCGCATGGTGGATGAGTGGGCGAATGGATTTAAGCAGCTGAGTTGTTCCACAAGTCTTGATAATAATCTTATTAGGGTAGACGAAAAGACTCGACTCGGACAAGACGTAGGCATCGAAGAACTGATTGCCGACGGCGGATACGACAGTGCATTGCACCGCATGTAAGATTTGTTCGAGTGATTCGAAGTCCAGAAGGCGGAGTCCCATGTCGTCGACACCAGCCACAGGGTCGTCGCCGAAGAAATGAAGCTCGAGGCGCTTCTCAAAACCTTCAAACCCAGAAGCCGCCATTGAAATAGTGATCAATAAAACAGATGAAGAAAACAAGTGGAGAAGATGGAGAAAGAGAGAGATGGTGTGAGTTGGAGTTGCAGGGGAGTGAGAGATGAGAGGAGGTGGTCAGGGATTTATAGGTGGGTTTGAGAGGGAGTGGGGAGAGAGGGGGCATGCGGGTGAGGCAACCAAGAATCATGATTGCAGGCATAATGAAGTGAATAAGATGATGATATATACATATGTATGTATACAGATACATACATACATACATACATATATATATATATATATATAATGTACGCAATTTCAAACGAAAAGGGGAGAATTGTTATTGTGTTTTTGTGTTGTTGTGCGAGACCAAATCTTTGCTCAGACAAGAACAGAGGAACGGGATTTATGCCCACTCGCATGCATTTTCTTCTTCACCCACTCTCTCCTACACTTTCCAATCAACATTTTCTTCTTTCATTAATCATCATGCCCTTTCAAACACCATTACTCTCTTAATTAATCCCAAACAAAATCTTTTTAAACCACTAATTACTTTGCATAGCGTAAAAAATTCTCTACTTTTAATTTTGAAACGAAATACTTTTGGATTAAAATCAAGTTTAAAAGAGTATAAAAGAAAAAAAGATCAAACCAAATACTTAAAAATTATCTGACTTCCACATAATACCAATTTAAGACCAAACATTTAAGCCTAATAATGGTTATGATTTGTAATCAACGAATCAATTTCTGTTAAGACTACTTTCCAACAGTAAAAGCTAAGCATTTTGTCAAGACTTTCTCGAGTGCAAATTTGATTACTTCCTTTTTTTTCTCTTTGGTTAAAAAAAACAAGAGAGACAGAGAGAATGTTGATAGTACTGAGCAAAATAATTAGAAATTAAAAAGACTTCATTATGTGTGTGTGTCTCTTCCCAAAAGAGAGTTTTCTTATTAAGGCCGAATTGGGTCAAAATTTCACCATTGATGTATTGAGGCCAAAATATTTATAGAAAATAATAATATTGGTCGAAGAACTGAAGTTCAGTCTAATATTTAAACATAATGAGGAGCTTAGTATTGGTAAATTTGAAAAGTGAAGTGAAATTGTGTTACAAGAGGAAGGAAGAAGAAGAAGACAAGGACATGTTTGTCCGATGGAAAAGAAGAGAAGAAGGCAGGCAGGTGGTAAGCAACAAAAGCTGGATATATCATAAATATTACAAGGGCAAAAATAAAATACACTAGTAATTATGTAAAACAGAACAAGAAAAGCAATCAGGCGTGGCAAATAGATTATGAGAATATATATACATATATATATATATATATATCCCTTGAAATTGGCAGAGAGGCCCCTACTTGAATTAAAATTTATTAAAGGAACAATCCGATTTCATCATTTTTATTCTCCATGCAAATCTTAATTTAGCTTGGTCGGGTTATATAATCATTTTTCACTCTTTTGTTCGTCAATACTTTTCTAGCGAGTTCACCATCAGATTATGTATATTGAATCAATAAGCTAATGTTAATTAAACTATAATTATATCATTAATATTTCATCTCATTTTTTTGGGGAATCTATTTACCCTTTTATATGCTAATAATTCTATGTTAACATAATTTATAAGCGTAATATGTGCTTCTAAATATATACATACGTACACACACACATATCTATTCTCACAGATAATTATTATGTGTTGTAGATATGTAAATGAATATAATATGGACACATACATATACGAGTAACAGGGTGAGAATGTGTAAAAAAAACTTTTAACCAGGTGTTGGGCCAATATGAATGAGACACTTTAGTCCTCCCTACTCCACTAAGTACTTTTATATATGTTTTGTATCTATACCTATCATTTATAGTTTTCTTTGTATTATTTTTGTCTAAGTAAATTGCAATGTACTTTATATTTAGTATTTATTAAATTTTTAGTCTCTTATTATTATTTTTTTTAAATTTTTATAAATAATTTATTTAATTAAACAGGTTGAATAAGTAGACCGAGATTTTTAGTATTTGATGTATTTTTAAAAAGATTATTAGATATTAAGAATAAATGTTTAAGTAAGATTCTATAGAAATAGAGGTGAATGTGTGTGTGTGTATATATAGGTGGGGACATACATGTAGGAAATGGGAGTAATGAGTAGTTGGTTGGCTTTAGAAAGTAGTTTCGTAATTGACTTGAACTACCTTCTTCATCACATTTTAACATTTCTCCTTAGCTTTTAATTTAAGACTTTATAACAACAATTATTCAACGTTATAATAATTTATACGATCCAATTTCTTGAAAACAAAACTCTACCCAAAGGAAATACAAGGAAGCTTCCCTCTACAATAAACAAATATATGTCTATATCTATATATACACACACACACACACAAATCTTACAAGTACCGATAGTTTTCTATTAAACAAAAGAACTCTCTTAAACTTACACATATATGTATATTTGGAATTAACAAGAAATAGACAAAATCGAGAAAGGCATGCAATGATGGAAAATGGTTGAGTTTAGAATGATATATATGTGTATATGTGTGTGTGTGTGTATATATATATATATATATATATAGATTAGGAGTTTAATCTGGGGAGGGGGAGAGAGGAAGGAAATGATTCAGAATATATGCGTCAC